GACATTTCTCAGGATATTTTAAAGCGAATCGAAACACAATTATAAATTTAATTTTTCCAAAGATTCAATTTTTCCATTCAAATAATTTGTAATAATTATTAACTTTATAGGGATCAAAAAGTATTGAATTGAAAATAATTACAAATATGTACGTCATTTTAAACTAAGAAGTTTTTAAATGAAAAAAATTTAAATGATATTGGTCGAATAGTTTTTAAGAAATAGAATTTTAAAAATGAGTTTTTTTTTCTTCTAATTTTGTAACTCAGAAACTATTTAACCGTTTTCGCCCATTCAAATAAAATTTCATACTTTAAATTGGTGTAAAAATTTGTATACTTTACAATCCCATATTTTTTTTTACCCTAATAAAGTCATAAAATACATTAAAAATAAAAAAATTTTAGTGGATCTTTTGATAAATGAATTTTATAATTGTGCGCAAAAAATTTTCGATGCTTTTTTTTAACTGCCCTAGACATGGTGAACTTAACAAACTTTTGAAGCGATTGCAACCCTACATTTCTAAGGGTAAAATTCTAAACTCATTGTAAAAAGTTATTTTTATTCACAGAAAGTATGTTTTTTTTTACCCTTTTGAACCAATAATACTGGCATATCATTTCCAAAAATCCGATGATTACAACAAAAGTAATTAAATGCGTTATTTACAAATATCTGTGTGAAAATTAAGTGATTGTTCAATAATCAGAATTTTAATCAAATTTAAGTCAGATTTTTTAACTAATGCCTTTATTTTTTCAATTTTTCATACATTTTCTTAATTTTATTTATACCAGCGTTGACCCGATTCTGAGTTTACGACTATAAATATTCAAAACAGTAGTCCTGTAATTTTGAACCTAACCCAAAAGACAAAAGAACCAAGCTTTGGGGCAAACTAGCCTTCTTGGGCGACTTTTTTGATTGAACTGACCATTATTTGCGTTACATGGGAAGGAAAACTACGAAATCCACCTACGGTTAGACCGACAGCAAGGGGATTCTAACCCATACCACTTGACTACCACTTTATATGTTTTACGTCAGAACAGCGGTGGGTGCGACCCAGGAGCAGAATTCGTATCAAAGAGCGACAGCTGGGATTCGAACATGGGGCTTCACAGTGGGGAACGAGCGCTCTGCCTCTGAGATCCTGCGGGTTTACCTTGTTCTTTAGTTATTATTCATTTTACGAAAGAAATGATGGCGCTGTTCGTTTCAGGGGCCGTAAGAAAATCACTAAGTTTTCGACAAAGAAGCGTAATTAGTTGCTGTAATGTTTATTAACGCATAGTGTGGTAATAGGTACCTAATATACTAGTATGGGGATTGTGGCAATAAGTATTTTACATCCCGCAGAAGCGAAACCAAAATAATTATGAAACAATGGTTTCTCTGCATTTATACAGGATCCGTAGGTCCCTGGTAAAAGTGTTCTTTGCAACAACAAAAATTTTTTTCTTCTTAAATATATATCAATGTTTGATACATCTTAGAACCAAATTCAACAGATAAAAATTATTTTATTTTTAAAAATACCTGTTAAAAGGTGAAATTTCTCCTTCGGGGAACTATAAACTATAATGAATGAACGTAACTCAGTTACCAGATATGAATATACTAAACATTTTGCGCATTTAATTTTGTAGCAAATTTTTTATATCTATACATGAAGTAAAGAATTTGTGCGTGTGGGTGTCTGTACACTGGATTACGGGTAAACGGTAGACTCTAAGAATATGAAATTCAACAAGAAGTATACAATTGTATACAATATGTATACAATTGCAAACTTAATACGAAGCCCGATTTTCGATTTTTAAATCAGAGACATTTAAGCAATGGAACTCTCTCGTTGGCTTAGCGTATCCACTGAGCATATTTTACGTCAGCAATGCGGTCGGTGCAAGTCGGGTAAGGAATTCGTATCGACCAGCTATTGCTGGGATTCGAACCTGGTTCATTGGAAGGCGAACACTCTATCCCCTGAGCCATCTAATTTTGATGTCAATGATGAGCAATTATTTTTAATAATAGATACTATTCTTTTTCATAACCATCGCTGAGCAGCCAACCCGATTTTTGGGTTTAAGACTAGTAATGTTAAACTCCGTAACCTTGTCATTTTGCACCCAATCCAGGAGACAAGGGAACTCCTGGATCGGGAGAAATTTGCCTTCCTGGAGAACGTTTAGATGGAACTAACCCGCATTTGCATTACACGCAGAGGAAAAACGCGAAAGCCTCCCTTGATTAGTTTGACGGCAAGGAGACTCACGATCTACCAATCGAAGTTTTGACAACGTTTCTACATAAACAGGCACGTAACTATAAAGAGGAATGTTATAAAATAAGTTCAGAAACCCGTAAAAGGGAAATTAATTCTATTTTTGTCAGGCTTAAATCGAAATACTTTTATTTGAAAAGAGGTTATTCGATAATAGGTCGGAAGTTACGAATGCGAACACCAAAGTAAGGGGACAGAGCTTTCCCTGGGACAAATCCAGGTATTAATCCCAGGATCGATACAGAATCTGCTTGCACCTACCACAGCTTTCACTTAAAATATACTCAGTGGTAGATGGATGTTGGGTTAGAATGCTCTTGCCGTCCGATGAACTCCTCATAGTACGCAAAGGCTGGTTAGTTCAATCAAAAAGTCTTCCAAGAAGAAAGATTGTCCTAGTGAGAGTTCCCTTTTTTTATAGGTTGGGTTCAAACTTACAAGGTTATTGAATTGAACATTGATAGCTGTAAACCCAAAGAGAAGTCGACTTTTTAACACCGGTTACAAAATAAAATTAAAACTTTATTTGTAACAGTTTGGAAACAATAACCTGCATTGTCTTCCAGTCTAGAGCTCCAAAATTTCGTGCAGTCGAAAAGTGCTTTACGACAGTTCGATAAAAGTTGGCCTAGCAGCTATGTTCTTTCCCTTGCTAATGTGGCGTAACTACAACTATAAACAGTTGATTTGCTTAAAAGTATACTGCTCAAGGACGAAAAGAAAAATCCGGTGAAGTAAATAAAGTCTCCCGGTCAAAAAGCAATTTTGAAGAAGAAAAAAAATAATGAGCGAAATGCTATAAACAAAAAAATGAAGAAACAAACAATGAGCAAAATGCTATAAACAAAAAAAAAATTAAGAAAAAATATAATGGGCATAATGATAGAATTAAAAATAAGTAAATAAGGAAAAAAACGGCATAAATCAAAAAGTAGTATCAATTAGTTCATCGAATTTTATCAAATTCTGAAAGCGGAGTAATGTAACGTAACTACCACTACAAACATTAAATACGAAATCACTACTATATAAGACAGGTTAACTTGGATCTCTGAAGGGGTATCCTTTTGTAGATGAAGGTTGGCATCGTCGAGAACTTATTCCTTCACTAAAACTAGCAACGCTTCAACAGAATTTCAGAATACTTGGAAATTTTTCTTACGTACTTTATCATCCGAAAATGCCGAATATTTAAAAATCTCAATTTTTTCATTGCACGATGATTGTGGCCATCCTGCAGCTGGCGAGCCACATGCGACTCTTTGAAGGATTATTTATGGCTCTTGATAAATGTACCCGAGTTCCTTTTTCATTTTTATGCTATTATATTTTTTAAAAAATTATTATCATTCCGTATGCGTTTCAAAATGTCTTTTAAATTACTGAGAGCAAATATGAAAGACTAAGTGCACCGTTGTTCAATTCAAGGTGAATTTTCAGGGCTCGAAAACAGCCCGTCCTCGACGGTCAAAAATTCTCCGCGGACAACGAATTTCTCGAATGCGACGTCCGCGCGGGCGGCCATTTTCCCGTTAATGTTCGTGATACATTTTCAATTTTTGTTATCTAAGAGAGTCTTGTAAGTTACAAGGCAGCAAAATGACCCACAATACAACAACATACTGCGCATATATTGATGTTTTCTCTGTCTGGGAGTACTGCAGCGGTTGAAAGGGGCTTTGCATCAATAAACTTACAAAAAAAACACAATACGTACTGGTCTTAAACAAGAAGCTTTAAAAGCAATTTCGAACATCTACCTAAATGGAAAACCCCTTTCAGATTTCTGTTCAGAAACCTCTGTAAATCATTGGCTTGATTGTGGAACTGGCAAACGTCATATTTGATTCATTTAAAAAANCAGTGATTCTCAACCTTTTTTTTGTTGCGGCAACACTTTTAATGATTTCGAAATTTGACGGCACACAATGAAAAAAATTAGATTAAAAGTTGTTTAATTACCTTTTTTACACTGAGTCAAATAGTTTGTGATAATAATTTTGAATGTGAAATAAAATAATATGTACTACAAAAGCACATTTATTAAGGGATTAATTATTTATTTCGACAAATTTTTTATTAGTTAGTAACAGTTATTTATTTTTTTGCTAGTTATTAATTGTCCGCTTGTTTTCTATAATTATTAACTGTTATTTTTTTGTGATTTCTTGTTAACTAGTTTTTTTGCTAATTATTAATTGTTAGCTTAATTTTTGTTTGCTATCCTTTGTTAATTTGCTTTTTATATATTTGTTTTTTCAGTGATCCTTTGTTAATTTGTTTATTAATTGCATAGCTTACTTTAATGAATAGCTCTTACAACATTTTTTAAAATTTTGTGTCGTATACAATTTAAACATTTCCATCTTATTTTAAGATTGTCAGAGACAATACAATCGCCGACAAAGATGTTCACGCGGTTAAAGCGTGGAAAAATTATAAAAAGTATATATACGTATACACTTTCTTTAATTTAAAAACTTCACTCATAATAAAAAAAAAAAGCCTTATAATTTTTATAGTATCATTTTTAATATTTGGCGGCACATTTTAAGAATTTGGCGGCACACAAAAGTGCCGCGGCACAGTGGTTGAGAATCACTGATATAGAGTATTCGAAAGAGGTTTATCATTATAAACTCGAAATAGTAAAAAAGTTGTAGAAAGATTAAATTTAAAAAAGGCAAATAATGCTTTATTACCTCAACAGATGGAGAGAATTGTGGAGAGAATGCAAGACGAATGCCGCGGGGTTCCAGTTCGAACTGTAAAGAGTTTCATGTCTAAAGTTCCCAGTGTCTTTACAGGTAATTTCTTTTCTTACACAAGTTCCACTTTTTACAGGTAGATTCAAAAAATAATTATTTGTCATTTACTTCTTACAGGTTATTCATTTTTTTTAAAAAATTTGTTTTGTTTTTTACTGGGGATTCTTTTTTGTCCTTCATTCAGTTTTACAAGTTGTTACTCTTCAATTAACTCAAAAGAGGTTGGGATAACCAGATTGGCAGGGCGCTGGACTCACGTTCGTAAGAGTGGGCGTTCGAATCCATCCGGCCGAAGACTCCATGTGTAATAAATGGTGATTGATGCACGTTAAATCTGTTGGGTCGCAAAGTCCTCCATGTTTCTATAACAAATTATACCTCTGGGGGTACTGGATTGGAGATGGTTCAGGTTCTCCGGTTCAGGTCAGAATTACTATCTGTGGATGAATGAATGGATGCATGAATGGGTCCGCTCTATAAACGGATGTGTCAGAAGTCTAATTCTTGGCCATAGATGGCGCCACTGGAAAACAGGAACAATCGCTCCCCTTAGCTTAATGGCCTATGGCAACAGCAACAATTAATTGTAAAAATTTTAAGCCATCTTGGATTTTAACTTAAATTTCAGATTATTACTTATTCAATGTTCCCAAATGTAAAAGGGCGAGAGATTATCAGCAGAGTTTAATGCCTTTTTTTTAGAAAAAAAAGAAAGAAAAAGAAAAAAAAAAGGTTGGGTTCTACATTTTTAAAGCAGGAAGAATAATACTTTATAACTTTTAAAAGTTCTACGGATATTTTCTCAAATCTTAATTGCAAAAAAATTATTCGTTTAGTATTTTTGAATCACTAATATTTTAAAATATTGTATGACCTAAAAAATGCTAGAGCAACATTAAGTTTAAAAATACGAGTATATTATTTTCTTATTAATAATCCCTATCTATTATAAGGGGTCCCATCTCCCCAATTTGAAAAATCTCTTTCCCCAAACTATGAAAATGCGTATAAAAAATTTATTTAAAAACAATTTTTTAATTGTTATATCTGTATATCTATATATATCTGATCTACCTCAATTTGTAAAACATTACTTTCAATATTATTCTCTTTAAAAATCAAATCAATTTAACGATTCAGCTCTTTGAGCACAAATTTAATGCCATATTAAACATTTATTCAAATGTAAGTGCATATTTTTTTAAAAAAATTAATTAATATTCAAGTATTTATTTGGAGTGTGCTTGAATAAATTTAGAATTGAAGAATTTAATGGGATATTTGCAAGTGACGTATTGTTGGTATCTCGATCCTGATTGGTTGTTTAAACGTGCCATTTGTTTACGTTAGCAACTGTTCATTCTTCTTCGAGTAAGCCTAGCCCGACAAGTATCAATTTTCTTAAATGATACATTCCGTATTCTTACACAAAGATTTCAATTCTTTTATTCTATATATTTCTTTCTTGCCCTAAAAAAAGACGTAGAAAATTATTCTCCCCGCATATTAAAAATACCCCTTAAATAGTTAAAAGTATTCCTTAAATCTAATTCCTAATTTATGGTCATTCATAATTTGTGCAACTTAACAAAAGTTATAATAAATTTATCAATCATATTTTTCTTGTTTTAAAATAAATCACTTTTTCTGTGAAATGTCAATCCCCTTATGTGATTTATTTTAGTGTCAAAACAAGTGATTTTAGCAATTTTCTGGACGTATATTGTTTCTCGAAAATGGAAGTCCTAAGCAAGCATATGTTTTAACACACTTTTCACCTATAAAGTATTTTTTACAGGGCATATTGAATTTTAATTAATGTGGAAAAACAGTTGAGTTATTGCCAATTTTTCTGTGAATTACAAAATTCTTTTTAAAGTAAAGTAGTGTTTCGTTAAAATTGGTCAAGTATTTTTTCAGCTATGGGTACAAATTTACGGTAGCTTTGTAACCTCGCGTTATAACGCCCGTTTTATAAAGTATTTTTTTACAGAGTACATTGTTTTTTAATCAATATAGAAAAACAGTTGCAATACTACAATTTTTTTTGTTAATTAAAAAATTCTTATTAAAGTAAAGCAGTGTTTAGTTAAAATTGGTCAAGTATTTTTTCAGCTATGGGTACAAATTTACGGTAGCTTTGTAACCTCGCGTTATAACGCCCGTTTTACAAAGTATTTTTTACAGAGTACATTGTTTTTTAATCAATATAAAAAAACAGTTGCAATACTACAATTTTTTTTGTTAATTAAAAAATTCTTATTAAAGTAAAGCAGTGTTTCGTTAAAATTGGTCAAGTATTTTTTCAGCTATGGGTACAAAGTTACGGTAGCTTTGTAACCTCGCGTTATAACGCCCGTTTTATAAAGTATTTTTTACAGAGTACATTGTTTTTTAATCAATATAGAAGAACAGTTGCAATACTACAATTTTTTTTGTTAATTACAAAATTCTTATTAAAGTAAAGCAGTGTTTCGTTAAAATTGATCAATTATTTTTTCAGCTATGAGTAAAAATTTACGGTAGTTTTGTAACCTCGCGTTATAACGCCCTTTTTTGCCCGGACAGCATGGGTCATTATATCAGGCGTCCTCCTTTACTCTAAGGAGGTAATAAATTCTAATTAATATAAAAAAAACAGTTGCATTATTGTCATTTTTCTGTTTATTACAAAATTCTTTTTAAAGCAAAGCAGTGTTTTGTTAAAATTGGGCAAGTATTCTTTTAGCTATAAGTACAAATTTACGGTAGTTTTGTAATTTCACGCTATAACGCTCGCTTTCTCCCGGACAACGCTATATCAAGCGTGATCCTTTCCTGCATGTGGTAATAAACGATTTGATGATATAGAGAAATATCCGGACACGCATCATCGCGTCAAAACATTGATTTTTCTCCCCTCATCTGGACATATCCACTTTTTTCCAATCATTGGAGATCCGTTCGAAGGGTTAAAAAGAAATCGGATCAATAATAAGGACTTTTATATGTATATTCCAGCTATAAGATAAATTTTTTCGCTACAACCACTCTCGAATCTTCTTATCGGAAAGGAGAATCAAGAGTGTGAAATTAAATAAGAAAGAAAATATGTTTTTAATCCTTGGACTCTCTATTGATTTATCGATTTTTTTCTAAAGGGATTTCTGTCATTTTGAAAGAGTTAAGGGATTATATTAAATGAATATGCATTTTTGCAAGAAGTGTGGGTGGAATGAATATTTGTTCTGAATTATTTATTCTTAGTGTTATTTTCTTCATCACGAAATTGCGAAGCAACATAATTTTCAATACTTGCATGATTTTTTTTTCTTTTTTCCCCGTTTCTTTTTTGTTAAAATTTATGAAGTAACCCTTTTATCACTTTTTATAAATGTAAAGGGGGCGTTCAAATATTACGAAAGCGTGTTTTTGACAATTTCGAACTTGCCCTTCCCCCTTGTCAGCAAAACACTAACCCCCCCCCATGCATAATGCAAAAATGAATATCTACCCGCCTTCTTTTTGCTTTAACTGTAACTTTAATTCTGCCGTTGCAATTGCTTGACAGCTATTTTCTTCCTATTACTTAGAGCTTAAAAAGGATTTCAAAAAACTCATAAAACAAAATTTATTTTAGAAAAAAAAAGGTTTGCAATATGTAGCATAGCATTACAAAAGTTGAAAATCGAAATTTCGATCCTCTTAGTTGGTGTAAAGCAGTGTTTCCCAAAGTGTGGTACGCGTACCCCCAGGGGTACGGAAACAGTTTAGCGGGGGTACGTGTTCTTATGCGAAATATCTTGCAGCAAACGAAAATTATAAAAAAAAAAAAGTTTTAAAACAAAGCTAGCCATGAAAATTTACGATTACGTATTTTTCTATTGGCTATTTTTTGCAGATTTAACAGTTAATAACTAAAATATGTTGATAAAAATAAACATATTTTTTAAAAATTACATTCATTTTCTTATTAGTGGTACACAGCTCTACGAAAAATTTAGAAAGGGTACACAAAAGTCATAAGTTTGGGAAACAATGGTGTAAAGAAATGTACGTTTTCATTCTTTTTATGAAATTTTGAGAATGCTATTTTTTAGAAATCTTTGGTCTTATGCTTCTGTGCTCATAAGTCTTTACATCAGAACTTCTACGAAGAACTTCTACAAATTCCAAATTAAAAATTTTTACAAGCGTAATTTTTTGTTAAATTTTTTCTAAAAAAAAATTTGAAAATAAATAGTGTCTTACGTAAGCAATAATCATACTCAACTTACCCCCTTCTCAATTGAAATAAAAAAAAATCGCAAACCTCTCCCTCCGTTAGATGTTGACGTATGCCTGTTAAGGCAGATATGTGCGATTGTCCTTGTTTTCCAGTGGCGCCATCTATGGCCAAGAATTCGATTTCTGCCACGTCCATACGTTACGCCCGTTTATAAGGCGGACCCATTCATACATCCACAGATCGTAATTTTGACCTGAATCAGGGAACGATCAATTTCCAATTCAGTTCCCAGAGGTATTGATTTGTTATGGGAACAAAGAGGACTTAGCGACACGACAGATTTAACGTGCATCAGTCACCATTTTACTACATGAGGAGTCTTCGGCCGGCGGGTTCGAACCCACGAACTATCGGACATGGACCCAGCGCCCTACCGACCAGACTATCCCGGCCCTCTCCGTTAGATGCATACATAATATTTAAACTCCTAATCAAATGTTTGCGTTTGAAATTATGAATTTTCTTTAGTTCTAGGATTAGAATTAAGTTGTAGATTTTATTTTTAGACTTTATATTAACTAGTATATACTTACTTCGCATTTTCGATTTTCGACGATAAAAAGATTTATTGATCAAAATTATTAAAAGATTATTTTACTGGTGGCGTCCAAATAATTCCAAATCTGTCCTGTTAATGAAGGATATTCCATCGTACGATCCAAAAAGAATGCACAGAGAACAAAAGGAAATAGTTTGAGACCATTATTTTTTTCATGTAATGAAAATATGACATGGGCTTTTTAAAAAATTATAACATTTTTGTGTCACTACATGCCGTTTAGAAATAATTTTTAAAAAAATTTGTAATTGAAGATTTCTGATTAGAATCTCTAGAGCTGTGGTGGCTCTAAATGCTCTCCTCCTCTGAGGTGGATTCGGGAGCAGGTTGTCGGGACTCTCGGGATCACAAAGTCCTCCAAGATCTCATAACAAATAAATACCTCGGCGGGCACTGAATTGGAGATTGATTGTTCTCTGGTTCAGATCAAAATTACGATCTATGGATGAATCAATGATGAATGATTAGGTCTGCAAAACGGGCTGTGACGTGTATGTGGCTGAAGTCGTATTCTTGGCCAGAGAGGGCACCTCTAAAAACAAGAAAAGCATCCCATGCTTTAAAAATCCACTTGCTTCCCAACCAGGCTTGCTGATACTGGCAAGAGAAATAAGTAGAGCCGCAATGACTCATGGGATAGAGCGTTCGCCTTCCAATGAGTCGAACCGGGTTCGAATCCCAGTCGATACGAATTCCGCATCCGGCTTGCACCGACCACAGTGCTGACGTGAAATATCCTCAGTGGTAGATGGATCATGGGCAAGAGTCCCCTTACCGTCAGGTTAGTCGTAGGTGGTTCTAGTGGCCTTTCTCTCCATGTAGCGCTAATGCAGGTTAGTTCCATCAAAAAGTCCTCCACGAAGGCAAAATTTATCCCAATACTTGATCTAGGAGTTCCCTTGTCTTCTGGATTGGATTCAAAATTACAAGGCTACGGAGTTGAACATTAGTAGTCGTAAACCCATAAAATTGGGTCGACTGTTCAACGACGGTTATTAAAAAACAAATACAATAAAAGGAAGAAAAAAAAGGTGAAATAAGTAACAACAACGAAAATCAATCAAAACCACATAAAAATTTAATTGCATAATTAATTCAAAAGCAGTTTAAGAATTAATCAAATATATCATTTTTATAATAAGGGAGGGGAGTGGGGACTCTTTCAGTCATACACTTATTTAGAAAAAGTATAGTATTTATTGTATGTATATTTTATTTCATTAGCATTGGTTTATTCACCACTAAAAATAATCTTACGATTTTCTTAAGAAAATATCATTTTCTTAAGAAATTCTTCAAAAGTTTGAAGAATTTCTCAAGATTTAACAATATCTCCAAAATATCTTAAGAATTTTTGCAGACATTTTATAGACATTTTGAATATCTTTAGGATGAATTAAGTTTGTCCTAAGAAATTAAAAGTACATATAAGCGGTATATAAGTGGCATTTATGATACTAATAAGCCTATAGCTCTAACTATAGTTGTTTATTGATCGTTGAAATAAAGTCTATTTCTTCAAAATAGCATACTATGTTTTATGTAACCCAGAAAGCATGTAACCTTACGGCAACATTCTGTCGGAGTTTTCTTTCTTTTGTCACGAAAATGTTTGTACTAAAAACCTTTTTTTAAATAAAACAAAAATATTGCAGTTTCAAACCTTCCATCCTAAAAGGATTAAAAATTATGTTTTAAAACTTTTTTAAGAAGTATTGTCACTTACAAGGGAAACTAGGGAAGTGTGACTCGCCAATTTCGAAATAAACTAGTGGGATGTATGCCTTATGAGGAATAATTTTAGGGGGCAACATTTGTTTCGACCCATAGAAGGTCCTGTGAGTGATAAAAAATAATTAAATATATAGAAGAATCGGTATTTTATTACTTCAATGCAGACTATTAGTTATTGTAATTGTCTCATACTCCAATTAATTTGTAATTAATTGGTTAATTAATTAATTTTCTAAGTAATAAATTAATTAGCAAATTACCTAATTAATAAAATTATTAATTGATTTGCAATTACATACTCCAATT